AAAAAAAAAAAAAAAAAAAAAAGAGTTCCAATCTGGATTTTAGTGGGTACTAGCTGTATGACTGAAAGGACATAACATGGGGACAATATACCTGATGAGCAGACATTTTATTTAATTATTTATTTGAGTGGGAATCTTACTCTGTTGCTCAGGCTGGAGTGCAGTGGCACGGTCACGACCACTGCAGCCTCGACCTGCTGGACTTGGGCAATTCTGCTTCAGCCTTCTAAGTAGTTGGAACGATAAGCACGAGCCACCATGCTCGGCTAATATTTTGATTTATTGTAGAAACGAGGTCTCGCCATGTTGCCCAGACTGGTCTTGAACCCATGGACTCAGGCAATCCTCTCGTCTCCACCTTCCAAAGTGCTGGAATTACACACACGAGCAGCCTTTTTCGTTTTTTGTTTTTTTTTTTAGTTGGAGTCTCACTCTGTCACCCAGGCTGGAGTGCAATGGCCGCTCCCGGCCACCGCAGCCTCGACCTGCTGGGCTCCCGCGATCCTTCTGCCTCAGCCTTCCAAGGAGCTGGAACTACAGGCGCGCGCTACTACGCCTGGCTAATTTTTGATTTATTGTAGAGATGAGGTCTCGCCAAGTTGCCCAGGCGGGTCTCAAACCTGCGGGCTCCGGCAGTCCACTCACCTCAGCCTCCCAAAGTGCTGGGATTACGGGCTGAGCCACCAAGCCCGGCTTTTTTTTTTTTTTTTTTTTTTTTTTAGTTGGAGTCTCACTCTGTCGCCCAGACTGGAGTGCAGTGGTCGCTCCCGGCCACCGCAGCCTCGGCCTGCTGGGCTCCAGCGATCCTTCCGCCTCAGCCTTCCACGTAGCCGGAATTACAGGCACGCGCTACCACGCCCGGCTGATTTTTTGATTTATTGCAGAGATGAGGTCTCGCTGCCCAGGTGGGTCTCGAACCCGCGGGCTCAGGCAATCCACTCACCTCAGCCTCCCAAAGGCGTGGGATTACAGGCTGAACCACTGAGCCTGCTCGAGCAGCCTTTTTAACATTGCTTAGCTTTTTAGCAATTTTTCTAGCAGTTCACTTTAATTTACCCTCTAATCAGTAACCAAGGACAAAACCAGTTTCTCAGAGGTAGCTATTGGTAATTGCTTTACAACACCTTCCCCAGCTTGTTTTGTAAACAAGTTAACCTCATCAGCCCTTGTGACCTTCAGGTCATAGACCCCATCACCATGGCAGCAATCATGTGACTAGCCCAACCATATGCCTGCCATCCTTCACCTGACATCAGTACCGGTGCATACCTACCCTATGTGATGACATGGAGCAGACCACCACCCAACCACCTTGATGACCTGCCTCCATCAGAGAGAAAGTTTAAAAGGCATTCAACTAGCCGGCTCGGTGGCTCAGCCTGGAATCCCGCGCCTTTGGGAGGCTGAGGTGAG